TTCTCCTTTGGGGCCAAGAAACACCGACTCTATAGTAACAACTTTAACAACATCGTAACAATGATATTAATTGCCTTTCACCCCTGCAAACTTGGCGATCCCCTTTCTTGGCACTATTGGAGCAGTATATAAATTAAAGTAATAAACAGATAAATACATTTCCTGAGGTGGATTCCCCCACTGCAGATCAGGGTAATCTACTAGCTCTCCCTCCCTGCACATCCCACAGTGCTCAGAGAATCCTTCCGTTCATTAGCAAAGATTAAAGGCCACCGTCATCACCTATGATTGAAGAGTAAGTAAAGAATACTAAATCGGGTCCAGTTTTTCTTTCCATAATTCCGTGCATAAATAATGCTTCACAGAAATAATCGAATGAGTGAAACAGGTCATATGCTCACAAATATTAATAGTGGAAGAGAGATAGTGAGAGATAGAGAGAGAGATGGATGGATGGATGGATGGATGGATGGATGGATGGATGGATGGATGGATGGATGGATGGATGGATGGATGGATGGATGGATGGATGGATGGATGATGATGATGCTGTTTGGTCCCTTGTTATATTCACAGCAATTTTGCTTCAGTGATATTACTAACGGTGGCCCCTAGCCTGTTCCGAGTCCAAACGTCATATTATTCTATGATTCATCATCACCATCACTGTTCTCTCATTCTAGGAGGATGATAACAACACCTCATCCCTTCCCAGGATGTCATTTGTAAGTGTTGTAATAACCATCACAACAATAAAGAGTCATAGCAACAATAACAATGGTGAAAACATGCCCTCTTGACCGGTTGATGGTTGGGACTTGGCGGGTAATGTTTACGGCTTGACCTTTCAGTCCATCACCACCCCTGTTGAGAAATAAGTCTAAGCTAATGATCATAACAACGATGATGATGATGAAGATGACGACCGCATGGAGTCTGCTCCCAGTTTCTTCCCCAGCTTGGGGGCCACCCACACCCAGCTGGTGCTCTCTCTGAGAGGGACTTTTCTCATTCTTGGCCCACCAGGATCAAGTCCAACCTCTGATTCTTGCCCCTTCCTTCCCCCTTGACCCCTAAACTGCCCCCCCTCCATGCCTTCCTGAGAACTTATGCTTGAGCCTCTGCCTCATGGACCCCCTAAATTTCCTTTCTTATCAACCCCCCACCCCCTTCGATCTAGCTGCTCTCTCAAAGGCAGGTTTTTGTGCCCGCTTGAATCAGGCTTTTTAAAACAACCCCCCCCCTCTTGGTTCCAGCCAGCTTCTTTCCTTCCCCCCTTTCTATCTCATTGCGATTGCTTTCAGGCACACGATTGTTTTCCCCATACTCTCTTTTTTTGGGGGGAAAATCTGGAAACTGTCCATCCCTAGGTGGATTTCAAAGCCGTCCGAGTAAAGATTCTTTTGGTCTCTCTCTCTCTCTCTCTCTCTCTCTTGCTCGCTCACTTGCTCTTTCCCTCCTTCCTTCTTGAATACTCTTCCTTTCCCTGTCATGACCTCACTGAGAATTCTTTTCCCCCCCTCCAGCCTGTGGAAAGAGAGACAGAGAGAGGGAAAATAACCATCTACATCTCTACCCCCCCAAAAAAAATCCCCCTCAAAGCATTTCTCTCTCCTTTTTTTTCCAACGGAATAGCCAAGCAAGAAACAAAGCCATACACTGCTAGTCAGTTTCACAGCAATGAAACTGACAAGAGGATGCATCATTACAATCACACAACCCCCCCACCTCCCAAAGACTATATTTCGGAGGGGATTTTGTGGACCCTCATCGGACACCAAACAGGACCAGATTTTCTCCCCCAAAGCTCAATATCTCTTCTTTAGCCATCATTTCTTTCTCTCCCCCACAAGCCTCAGTAAACCCCTTCTCTCTTCCCACACCCACCCATGCATATCCCTTTCCACTTTGAGGATCAGCAAGGATTCTTCTGGGCTTAAAAGAAGAAGAAAAGGTTAGAGAAGGGGGGGGGAAGATGCAGAGAGTCTAAAATCCTATTTCGGGCAGGGGTGGGTGTCAGTCCATGCCATACCAGTAAGAGGATTTTTCCCCCTCCCTCCAGAGGGAGATTGAAGGTTGGGGAGGAAACCAAGACAGGGTGGGGAAATCAACAATGATTTCCGAAGAAGTTTTATTTTGGGAGGGGGGGGGAATAAACAAGCATGTTCTTACCTGGGATGTCTCTCTCTTTTTTTTTCAGGGTCCACAGGAATTCATGACCTCTGCCACCCGTGGAGAGATTTCTTTCCAACCTTTCCAAGCAGCAGTCAGAGAAAGACTGACGCACCCCGAATGCCCGAGCGGAGAGGGGCTCCTTCTCCCTTCCCAAAGGTGGGTAAGGGGGTGATCAGAGGGGGGCGGCCCCCTTGGGTAGCTTCCCCTGCAAAGGGGGAGCCAGGAGAAGGGGCTGCCGGGAACCAATCCCAGCCCAAGGCTTGGTGAACAAAGGGGGTGCCCGGCTTAGGGGGGATTGGGGAGAGGCGGGGAGGGCCCCTCTGGCCAGCTCCTCCATGGAGGGGGGGAACCCAGATCCAAGCAAACAGGGGAGCCCTCTTTTTGGGAAGGGGGGTAGAGAAAATAGAGGAGGGGTCTAGGTTTCTCTCTTCCTTCCCCTCCCTTTTCCCCCCCTCCACCTGCGATTCAGCAGGAAAAAAAGCCGGCATGCAGAGCTGCAGCTGATAGATGGGGTTACAAGAACTGGCTGGTAGGAGGGAGGGTTCCAGCGCATGCGCCTTAAGGGTCTCTCTCTCTCCCCGTCTCTCTTTCTCTCTCTTTTCAACACCCCCCCTCTTTCAGAGGCAGTCACCTCCTGATAAAAATAACCATCCTGGGATGGAGACTCTGGCACACGAGAGACCCAGATTTCCCCTTCGAGGCCAAAAAGATAGGATGGAGAGCTGGACCCCCTTTTGGGGGAAAAATTGGGGGTCACTGTCCAGTTGGGTTAACTGGGGACCCGGGGGGGGGACTTTGAAGGGTTCGAGGGCCGAGGTGGGGTTTGAGAGGTCTTGGTTCAAGTTCCGAACTGGAAAAACTCAATTTCGGGGAACGCTGGGTGGTGCTTTCTCTGGTTTGGCCTCGCCTGGCCTACCTCGTAGGGCTGTCGTATGACCAGGTGATGGGGAGGGTTGGCTACGCTCGCAGGAGGAAGACAGGCTATCACACTGAATAATTATTAAAGAAATCCCAGAAAGTGGTGAGGTTCATATCATCTGGAAGGCTTTCTTCTCGTTCCATGAGATTATTCAGGAGATGCACTCTGTGCATGCCTAGGAGACCCCTCGTCTTAAAAACAGCTTCGTTCCTTCCCTGCCCCCCACATGGTCTTTGCAGTATGTCTATTGGTTTGTAAAAAAAACAATTGACTGGCAGCGGGGCTCTGATGTCCTTGCTGGGTTTTAACCTGGACCTGAGCTTCTGCAGCGTGGAGAACAGCTGGAAAGTTCGGCTCAAAACCCAAGGGGGCTCCATTTCCCCACCACCACTGCCAAAGTAATGAAAAAAAGGGGGAGGGAATTCACGAAGATACTTTCGGAAACAGAGCAACAGATAATGGCAACACGTTATTTTCCATAAATAAAATTAAGGAAACTCACAATAAAAATAATAAAATGAAATACTAATCACTTTTTTCAGGATTCACTCTTGTGCCATGCCTGAGGGGACTACAGCGCCCAACGTCCCCCAGCATGGGATTCGTAGTACACCGTGCAGAGGTTTTCAGACGGGGGCAGATACGGCTTTTAAAAATGAAAACAAAAATCACGCGATGTCTTGCAGAGAATTATTTTAAGCCATTTTCTTAGCCAACGTGGGTCACTGAAAATGCTTCTTGGCGCCTTCGAGGTTTAGGGGACGATGGGTATCTGATGCTGACCAAAAAAAACCAAAAACAAAGGAAGTGCAGAGGGTGGGATTGAAGTCCAGGATATAGGATATATTGTGGAGGGAGGGGGACTTCTTAAAATTTCCTTTTGGGTATCAGTAACCAGTCACCAAATTGTACCGGATCACTCTCGGCCTGTCCTGAACCACAACGGCTGTCGGGAAAGAAAGACGGTGATTATTAATACAAGAATAGAGAAAGACGCTCTTTCTGCCCGGTTTTGGCAGCCGTTCGGATGGGAAAGAAGCCCCCTATTCATTTCCATAGGAGGTTCGTCCCCTCCTCGCTTCCCCAAATCCTATAGAAAAGACGTCCTTCTCTTCCTGACTCATTGTATAGGCTTTCTCTCCCCCCCCCCTCTCTCTTTTTTCCTGGGCATCAAATCCGGCTTAGTTTCTGGCTCCTTTTTTTATCTGAGGCACATCCGAGCCCCGATATTGTTCCAGGTTTCGGCATGGGGGGGGAGCTGTCTCTCTGTCCTTTTTATTATTATTATTATTATTATTACGAGGCACATCTGAGCCCCGTTATTGTTCCAGGTTTCAGCACAGGGGGGGGGGAGCTGTCTCTCTGTCTTTTTTATTATTATTATTATTATTAGCTCTTGCAGCTGGCAAGGGTGTTTGTGGGTTTTCCGCTGGGGCAGGGAGGCCACCGATACCCTCCCTCCCCCCGGATAATATCGAACGACAATATGAGCTCCGAAGACTTTGATCCTGGCTTCCGGTCATCAAGCCTTAGAAGAAGGCCGTGGTGCTCCAGAGGCTGACACACTACGTTTCCCATCATCCTTGGGCCATTCCCCTTAGGATGGAAGAGATTTAGAATATTTTCCTTTTCTGTCCCCCAGAAAGTGTTTTTAACTTAGTGGCTTAGAAAGGGAGGGAAAGGGGAAAACAGGTGGCAACCCTGTATATATTATTTACCTGAGAGTAAGTTTCTCGACATTCATAAGGCATACTTCTGAGTAAGCCTGTGGCCGGGCTCTGTGGAATGACAACAGGCTTTAGAAGAAGGCAGGAAAACTGTGGTGCTCAAAATACTGAGAATCTTCAGATCCCATCAAAATATAACCAAGGGAAGGTGGATAACAGCAGGGAAAGAGGAAACTCAAAGGTGAGATGAATGGACTCCCTTGAGGAAACCACGACATTTGAGTTCACAATTGTTGAGCAGGGCTGCTGAGGACGGGATCTTCTGAAGGTGGCTCATCCGTAGGGTTGCCACAAGACGGAAGCCAGCAGGTAGCACCTAACCACACCAACATCTTTCAGACCTCACTGGTCTCTTGAGGGAAAACCTGGGGTTTCCTCACCCAACTGCCTGCGTTCCTCTAACAAGACAGGTCACTGACTGGCCTTCTAAGGTCATGGCTAAGCCTGCCCTACGCTGGCGCTCCCTGGATAGATCTAACAGTCTAATTGTTAGAGTGCCATCAAACGAGGGATCGGAGAATTTCAGCCCACCTTTGGCTAAAGTTTGACCAAAGCTGGTCAAGAATTGAAGGCTTTTTAAACCTTGGAACTAGGAGAGACTGAAACAGATATATTTATCTATCAATATCCAGGGTTTTTGAGTTCTCGAAGTCTGGCATCTGCTTCCTTGAGTTTTGCTTTTAATTCAAATGACCCTTTTAAAAAAAAGTCAAACATCTTAAAAGTTATGTATCATGCTGTCTTCTCCAGGCTGGGAATAACCATCCCTCTTGAATTGGGTCAACAGCAATGGGTGAGATTATTGTTTTCTTTCAGTTCAGTTTTTCGGAAACTGGTCAATAACTCTCTGATTTCTTCATTTATTTTATTTTATTTTTTGGAAAGGACAGGATGCGACCCTAGACAGGGGTGACCTCGGTGCAACTCATTTCAACTTCCATTCCTAAAATCTCGAGATGGAAACACCCCTCAAGAAAACCAGCACGGATTTTACTTTATTTATTTAATTTTTTTTTAAAAAAGAGGCTCGGCACCTTCAAACCGGCACTGAAGTAGGTCATCCGTTTCTTTAAAAAGAACATGATTCAGATGGAGAAGTTTCTGATGACAAGACTACTGGTTCGTGGGTGGAGCGGAGAGCATGATTTCCCTTCCCTCTGTGATTTGCGGAAAGTTTTGGCACAGTGCATTTCCAAAAGACTGCCAATGGAAGAGAAAGGGGACTACAATATCCAGCATCCCCCTTAGGAATGTGATCCTTGAGGACTCCCAACACCCAAAATCCCCTCATTGGGAGGCAAAAGGATCTGCGTTCACTCTTCTGTCAAAAGCTCTTAGAGCGAGCCGATGAGATGAACCTTCATTTCAGCCAGATTTTGGGAAACCGTAACCTGTAGGAGTCGGTGGTACCCAAGCTGCTGGGTCAGGTGTCCTCTCGTGCAGAAGGACAGTCCTCTATTTAAAGGATGGCCCGGGGGGAGGAGTCCTCTTTCAGAATATGTCCTGCTTTTGAAGGACCACCCAACCCAATTCGGATGGAAAGAAAAGGATGCTGTCAAAGGAGGATCCAGGAACGTTGATGTGGTCCATCATCCCCATGAGGAGTTGTCTGGGTTGCAGAGACAGACAGCCAACCCACAGGTCCTCTGGTCAACGCCTCCAGATGAGAAGCAGGGCCTTGCTGTTTAAACTCTTCTTTAGAAGAATCGTGGTTTTCTCACTGGCACCCACAAAATAGCACATGTTGTTGTAGGCAAAGGGGCCTCTGCCTTGGGAGACGTGAGAACGAGCAACCACATACGGATCAAGGTCAGCTCACAAGACCACTGGCCGCGTGGAGGACCCAAAACTCAGTCAGAGGAGCCCTCTCCAGGGTCAGCAAGGAGGCACAGAGTCCTTCCATCCTTCCTTCCATCCTTCCATCCATCCTTCCTTCCTTCCTTCCTTCCTTCATCAGCTCCTCCACTCCCTCATCACCTCCTTCCTTCTATCCATCTATCCATGGATGGATGGATGGAGGAAGCTTACTTCCTCCATCCATCCATCCATCCATCCATCCATCCATCCATCCATCCATCCATCCATCCATCCATCCATCCATCCATCCATCCATCCATCCATCCATCCATCCATCATCAGTTTCTTTCCTTCCTTCCTGGTTTCTTTCTGTCTC